ACGTTACTGGAGTAAATAAGTTAGGAAAAATAACAAAACAGCATCATTTATGCTTTTCAAATCCTCAGAAAAAAATTCCCTAAACAACTCTAACGATGAATTTAAGTGCTCTAAGCACTTCCAACAAAGAGTGGCGTCAATAGTTCATGTCCCCAGAAAACTCATGCATTCCGAAGCTTAAAACAACAAAAATCGAAACGATGCCTACAGATTTCGGCCGCTGTTTGAGGATGAAAACAGAATACAATATCCAAAGTCATACTAAATACACCAAGAGATGGTCCACAGAGAACAGACAGCAGGTACTTACCGCAGGTATGCAGCTCTGGAGCAGTTGTAAACGGCTTGCAGCGGTATCTCATAGTATCATTAACATGAGATCTACACACCGAATTATTCGGGCGATTTCAGGTCGTAATGAAGAATGATTTCCAAAACAGTAGCAGAAGAAAAATATTTTTTACGAAAGGGGCGGATGACTAATTCAAAAAATAGAAGTAGGTAATAATTAAGGAGATGTTTCGATCAACTGAATCGTATATATTTCACTTAGTAATACTGTCAGTACTATAACCATGCTACTGTCATCAATTAAATAATGAAATACCGAAGATTATGGTGAAACTGTAGGTGGGAAAATGGGGAAAAAACGAAAACAAAATTTAAGAATTAAAAGAAAACGGAGTATAGGAAGAAATGCAAAGGGGATGGCAACTCTCTGAACTGCTAACCTAAATTCAACGCACAATCATAGAGTGCCACATCCTTCGGGATACTGCGATCATGCATTCGATGTCTCACCTGATTGACCAAACACTTATCAGTTGAGTAACCATTCTGCATCAGAGCACTGAATAATTTATGAACTGTCATCCTGAAAAACTGAACAGTCTGTTACAGCTCTTGCAGTTTAAAACGAATTCTTTCCTTTCTTCTCTAAGATTACCATTACAGCAACTCCTCCTGAATGTTAAGATGCCTCATCGCATTTTAGAAGTGGCAACATTCGAGATGATGAGGTAGTGATGCTCAACACCACCAAGGACATCTCGGAACGGCTAAAGACTCGTCAAATGTTTCCGTTGGCACAGTAGTTCAATTCATAATCCTTTCATCAGTCGAAATAACTGCCTGTACTGTTACGAAAGAGTTGTAACTGCACAACTGAAGAAGCAGATTATTCAAATGTTCCAAAAATAGCAACTGCTACAAAAGAAAATAAAACCTGTTGGCCGGATCGACGTGTGCTCAAATTGCAGCAACCTTTGATCAACAGTAAGTGGCCATCGCAGTAAGGGCGGTGGGCACGCAAAAACACAGCTATCGTGTGCATGGACAAGCGGCGAATAGCCAAGCAGACTGATCAGTCTGGCATAGTTATCTTGGTGCTCCGGCTGCTTCCGAAAGCGCCGACAAAAGCTCGGCAAGAATTTGAATGTCTTCAGTGATAAGCATGAGCACCTAATGACTGGTGAAAAACGTCCCAGAAGACATATGTTCAGTAAAATTCAGCCGATTTTAGTAAAATTTCGGCTTAACAGCTTCCGTAGTTCCCCAGATAGCAATTTCCCCTGTCAAAGCTTTCGCGTAGCTGTAAGCGAGATTCGTGCAGACGTGAAAACTAAATTTGAATTTGCTGGGTCGCAAGTGGGCAGTGGACATCCCCCTAAGGTTTCAGCAAAACACAATCGGACACAAACACAGAAGTGATAGAGCGCTTGACAATCTGTGTTTTGTAAAGTTATCATACAGCACAAACGCAGAGATTGTCGCAAGCACGCATTCCATCTTTAATTTACAGGTACATCGAAGATCATTAAAAACTGTTCTCTACACTAAAGTGTACATCGAATTCACAGAATTCTGGCAGAATAGTAAGGCAGGAATTCACATTCGAAAGCGACGGCATTGCACTTTTACGGATAAGAAAAAATGTTGGATTTCTAGCTTCAGTTGCGGTACTCAGAAATTTTAAAAATTTTCGAGGTAAGTGCCGAAAAAAAAAATCCGAAGCAGCAGTGGTAGTGCCTGAAAGCAGTATTCGAAAGAGAACTATCGACAGCCATGCCAGCGTATGGTTGCTGTTGTCGAGCTGCTCTTGAATATCTTCACCTCTCATGAACAGTGAATACGTAAGCAGTTTTAAATGTGACAGTGATAACGATATGTTACTCAAAGCCGAGACAATTTCACTGTAACAACCTTTTGTTTCGGTAGCTGAGAATCCGGTTGAAACCATCGATGTCACTCCAGCCAGCATTAATAACGTGCAATTTTCCGTTTTTGTAGAGGCTTTCATAAAGCTTGAGAAGCACGACAACCGGGAGAAGAAATGCCGCCTCAACAGGCACTTCTTTTAGGGTACGCGCAAGCATATGTACTATATGGCCTTCCAAATTCTCTGAAATTTAAGCAAAATGCAAAATTCCATTTTTACACAGACATACACATTGTACAAATAAATATGTGCATGTGCTGGCGATTCAACTCTGATGGTTAGCTGCACATGTAGATACTGGCACCTTGGCACCTTCAAAGTGAGAACAGTATGCAATGGCAACTCAAAGGATCTCTCTTCTGAAGGGACAACTGCTTAATCGCCGCAGTTTTTTCTTTTTTTCTTTTGATGTTGACAGAGCCCAAAAAAACTGAGAAAGCACAATTTTTGCAATGAAGAAACCCGAGCAAAAATACGGGGTGCCCAGGAGGCATTTAAAGCGAAGTTATAGTTCTGGAATAAAATAATTTCTAATAATCCAGGCGCAAGTACGTCTGGCAAATCACTTTTTAAAGGGTATTTCTGCTATTTCAAAAAAAAAAGAAATCGAGAGCCCTTCTTCAAGAAGCGGAAGCACTCAGAAGTAGCCCGA